TTCCCACGGCACACCTTACACTATGTCACGGCACACTAGTGTGCCGCGGCACAGTGGTTGAAAAACACTGTGTTAGACAATTGAAATTACAGGGTGAGCTGCTTTGCTTCAGCTAGCTGCCTCACTGTCACATGCATTTGATCTTCTTGCCTTGATGCAGCTTGCTTCAATTAGTCAAGGTCTAAGCAGAGCAATATGAAACAAATACATGAAACATATTTTCAAAGTAACACACAGCCTTACTGTAAGGAAGGGTGTCATGCCCTGCAGTATCTCATAATATTACTGGGCTGAAATTCTGTTCCCCTTTGATTGCTGACTAGAAATTATAAAATAAATCTTGTAGGCAGTCCACAAGATACCTTGGTCAGTGGTATCAAACCAGTCCATGAGAGGCATACTCCTCTCCTTGAGGTTCCTGCAAGAATAATTTATTAGAATAACCAATGCCATCAGGCAATTAAAAAATCAAAACCCAACCTACCAAATAGGTTGAAGCTTGTAAACTGCAGGGATGCAGTTTTCATCCAACTTGTACCATTGATTCAAAAGCTGAAGTTCTTTCTCATATTCAGCGAAAGTCTTTTGGGTGAGTAGAGAAGTACTAAGCAAATCCAATTCATTTGAATTAATCACTTCATGTTCTTTTTGGCTGCTTATCTCAGCTTCAAACTCTTCCGTTGCATCAGGTTTCTGGAAATCCTCAACAATTTCACCTTGACTTTCATTTCTCTCTACTTCGATTTCATCTTTCAAATCAGCAGGTGGTATGTACTTTGATGTTTTGATATTCAGCTTCCTACTTATCACTGTGGCTTTAATTAACTCAAAAATTTCCTTGCCTATTATTTCTGGAAGAGAGAGATCATCATACTTCTGGCCAATAAAAACCTGAAATGCAACATAGAAAATAATTTTCAAATGATTCTTAGCAAACAAATTATTATTTTTTCTGAAGCTGACGGTATTCCAAAATATTTAATATATTGTACCAATTGGAAATTAAGCAATCCAATGAAGCAAATATTATGAAGATGATCCAATTAATTTTGGTACATAGGTGAATTCTGCTTTTTCTTTCATCTAGTAGATTTGCAACAGAAATAGGTTCTTACAAGCAAAACTTTTCATTAGTTGGATTCTTTAGTTGGCTGGTTTCAACTATGGAATATTGAAAAGAAGTCATAGGGCTAGATTAACAGACTAACAGAGTTGGAAAGGACCTTGGAGGTCCTCTAGTCCAACTTTCTGTTGAAGTAGTAGGAAACCCCATATCATTTCAGACAAATGGTTGTGCAATGTCTTCTTAAAAACCTACAATATTGGAGCACCCACAACTTCTGGAGACGAGTCATTCCACTGATTAATTGTTCTAATTGTCAGGAAATTTCTCCATAGTTTTAGATTGTTCTCTCTTTGATTAGCCATAAATAGTGGCCTACAACCTTTTCTTCACCACAGACCCTCTTTAAATACAGTTTATGGCCACAGATTATGGCCACGGACTCCTAAGACTTTACTCAAGATTTAAGTCACAACATTTCTTTGTGGGTCCCTGTGACAACATCACAGTCCTCCATGGGTCCACAAACCACAGGTTGAGAACCACTGGCTTTCAAAATACAGTTACGTATTGGATTCACATGTCACACTAAGTCCAAACCAAACTTTAGGGCCTAGTTTGAAGTGTAAATTCAGCCAGTTGTTGCTTATTTAACAAACCATGGTTATCTCTTAGAATGATGAGTGAACTCAGCACTAATCAGAGCAAACAAACTTCACTAAAAGATATAAGACTGCACAATAGTAAAGTATTGCGAATTTTATTCAACTTACAACAAAGGTTTGGAATCCCAATTTTTGGCATTTCTTTAATGTCCTTGTATGTAGAGAAGCCATTTGATGATCATTAGTAATACCATCTTTTACTCCCCACCTTAGATCAAACACATGGAAGTCGTAACCTCTCTTTTTACAGTAGTTGTATAACCATGGAAGGGATTTCTCCATTAATGCATTTCGTTCTACTTCTGAATCTAATTAAAATAACAAAGCAAAATTGCTAAACAGTGTTATCTTGATTTAAAGCAATCCTATGCAACATCTAAAACTTTAAAGAAAAAGAACTGGCGGAGTTGCATTTATCTCCAATCTAACTGTAATACAAGTTGTCCTCGAGTTATGACCATAACTGATCCCAAAATTTCCATTACTAAGCAACACAGTTTTAAGTGTATTTTGTTCCATTTCATGGCCTTTCTTGCCACAGTTAGATTAATCACTGCAGTTGTTAAGTTAGTAACACAGTTGTTAAATGAATCTGGCTTCCCCATTAACTTTGCTAGTCAAAAGATTGCAAAAGGTGATTACATGACCCTGGGACACTGCAACAGTCATAAATACATGGCAGCTGTCAAGCATCTGAATATTGATCAGTATGCTGCAATGCCCATTAAGTATGAAAAATAGTCATAAATCACTTTAGTGCCAATTTAACTTTGAATGGTCATAAGAATACTTGTATAAAAAAGAATTCCTATTGAATTATAAAGGGAATCTCTTTTAATTATTTTAGTTTATTTGAATACATACGCAAACCCATACACACACACACTATCCAGCTACTAACTACATCCAAAAATATTTAGCTTAGTGTTCTTGCATCATGTGCTGTCAGATTATAAAGCTTTTCATTTATAAAAAAATGTACCATACGAACAAAAATATAGAATTACAGATATATTCATCTTTCAGATGATACAAGAATGCCATTAGTTGGCTTCCTAATTGTTTGAAGAATAATTTTAAAAACTATTTAAATCTCAAGGAATATTCTTTCTTGTTTAGATTTTGGTCTTCTATAAAAATTTAAATTCACAAGTCTTTTGGAAGTACCTTGATAACCTCCGCAGATATAGATCATAAACTTTTTCTTTCTGGTTAAACAGGGCAAATGGATTCGTCCTCTCACTACATCTCTGCTTGTTTTTGTGTCTGCTGGGCTCTTCTGACAAGAGATTACATCATTCGTGGCATTCAGGGTTTCCATTAGGAAAATGCTACGGGGTTTAGTTTCTTCTGTCTGGGTTTTCAGATGAGATGTAGTCAAAAAAGAGTAACCCTTGTGAACCTTCTTTGCTTCATTCACTTCTGATCCATTTATGTCTAAGAACTGCAGAGACCCTGAAAGTGGGCTTTTGGACAAATATATTATTCTTCCGTTGAATTTCCTTTCCTGGATTGTGTCTTTTTCTTCCAAATGAAGAAAGTCGCCACTTGTTTGCCTTTGGGGGAGCTCTCTGTACTTCTGCATTGATTTTGGTGTTTTTGTCTTGTATTTGGAATTTTCAGTGAATTCAGAGATTTTGTCTCTAACCAGAGGCTGCTCTGAACAAATATTGACAGCTGCATGGAAACTTTTGACCTGTCCTCTACTATCTCCTTCCTGCTAAAGAGAAAGAAGAGTTTTGTAATTAGATACATAAATTATACATATATTATCTACTAATAAACATACATTTTTTGTAATGAAGACAGTACTCCAAGTATCTTGTTCCTTCAGTGGAGATAGGACATTAAAGGCTTAGAAAGAATAAGACAGAGTTAAATTTTACTAATATATAGTACCCGTATTTGCAATTAGTATAAATTTGAATAAAATTATCCTTAAGTGAAAATGTATTCAAGGTTGTTGTTATTTTTTACTTTTTAGACAAAGCAATTTCCTATGCTTTTAAATCCCACTTCAGTTTTACTTTATTTTTTCCAGTGTTTGGGATAACAAATAGAGGTACCTAGCAAAAGAAAATCCATCATTTTTCTTACTTAGACAACTCTGTGACGTGTTGAGTCATCCTTTAAGGGAAAGGTAGTAAAGTCTGATGTTACCAGGATGAATATTAAATTTTAGGCTGACCATTTTTTTTACACTACTGCCAGACAGTTCTGTGATTATCTAAGCAGAGTATATATCACAAATAGAAAAATAACTGTAGAAAATAAGATTGAACAAGTCAATATTATCTTAACTAAAGAGATACATGGAATGATCATGGGTGGACAAAAAAGCAATGGGAATGGGAGAGACTTCTGATTTCCTGCCAGCTTCCCCAACTTTCTTTGTGAGAAGCTGGCAAGGACCATTGGAAATTATCATCATGCTCTTATAACAAAGGAATTGATTCCACTCCTTTGAAACCAAGTTGGAATTTGTGATCAAATATTTTGAAAAATACCAATTCAACAGAAACAGATTTCCTTAATAACATGGTCAGCAAATTTATAAAATCTTCCAATTTTCCATTCAAACAAATTATTTTAAAATTATGCTGATTGAAGAATGGGAAACTATACAGTTAAGCCATATGTTTTATCAATTTAGCTGTCTGTTATTTAATGGCACAACACTTTCCAAAACTATATTAGAGAAGTGAGATTTATGGATTAGTTTCTCTTACCTTCATGATGAGTGCCTCTGTATTGTAAAGGTGTCTTTTATTGCTTAAAGGGCGATTCAGTCTTTTAGCAAAACGAAAATACATTTGATTCTGGAAGGAACCAAGACAGACATTAAGAAGATATCTACTTTTCAGGTTTTTCCAAATATTTAAAGGAAAAAAATAATCACCTACCTTTAAGTGCTTCTTCACTTTCATGTCGGTTTCTTCAGTTATGTTTACATATGGAATATTCCGGTGGCTTCTTTGTTTCTAGGAGCAATTTAATATCTTTAATATTTTTAATTGGTGTTATTAATCTGTTTGCTAGCTATTTTCTAAAAAATACTATTTTACTTGGATGTATTACCAACTAATAACAAGGCCATAGTGATAACTCTGTGAGTACTGAAAGGGGTTATCAATTATTTTGCTCCTTCATTTAAAGACTATTTTTTTCACTTTTTTAGAACATAGTTTTCTCTTCGAAAGTCTTATTATAGCAAAGGGACATATTGGGGTCACAGCAGAGGTGGGTTGCTCGTGTTTGCGGAAGCACACGTGCACCATGTGACACTTCTGAGCATGCAAAGAAGCATCCGGGTGGATGGGCGGAGCCTCCCGCTGCCACCACTACTGGTTCGCCCAATACGGGCCCAACCAGGAGCAACCCACCTCTGGGTCACAGGTTATACTACTTCCTTTCTTTCTACTAATAGTAATCACAACTTAACCCAAGGGTCCAGGTGGTCTATGCCACATGTCCATGTCAGATAAACAATAGCATACATTGCTTCATTCTTTGATTAGAAGACACTGCTTTCCAAGGTGAATAAATAACACATTTTCAAAAGCTATTCCTTAACATCTGTAACATAACTTTTCTAGTTTCTCAGTATAATTCTTTTAGACACTTTCCATATAGCCATCACTCCTCATAACAGTCAGATGCCAAAGCATTGGTATATAATTCAACATCCCATTAACATCTTTAACATTTAGAAAAAAATCCTATAAACCTCACTATATACATTACAGTTCCATTCCAAAGAGATACCAAATGACACATGATAATAATTCATGAATAAATGAACTCTCAAGATTTTTTTCATGTCCAACAAAGCCCAATATCCATACTGTACATTCTTGAGGAAGAAATTGAGTTCAACTGTAAAGAGTTTTGCAAATAAATCTCCAACATTCCGCTGCCAATAATAAAATCAGCAGATGCACAGTATTTTACTGTTATGCTCCACATAGCATTCTATATTTCATAGCAAGAATAATTGATTCTATTTTTAAAAGAAGCATGTTAATGTTTCTTATTTAACTAATTTTATCACTTTTATGCATCTGCCTTGGACTATTCTTAAACTGTTGATTAAGATGATGTGTATTCTCCTACTTCTTTATTAAGAAAGTCAAATGGTAACTCACCCCAATCCATTTTGAACACATATCTTTGTATACATGTTTCTGTGACTTTGAAATATGTGGTGATAAAAACATTTCATGGAGCATATCACTAGTGCATTTTTGGAGATTCAAGTTGCTGGAAGGCTAAAAATAAAGACAAATATGTTTGATGTAGAAGTATTGTTCTCTCAGTTTCCAAACGTGCACATTAGATAAGTACTTGTGGAGAGGAAAACAATAATTATCTGTAGGTAACTGCAAAGGATTAGAGATCTCAGCTGGCTGTTGTCAAGGCTGAAAGCTAATCAGCTATATAATTGGTGCTTGATGTAGCTGATGGTGCAGATATTAGTATTATTATAATACATTATATTTTTATTATGCAGCTCCTTTGTTATACAGGTAGTCCTCAACTTACAACCACAATTGAGCCCAAAATTTCTGTTGTGATACATTTGTTAAGTGAATTTTGCCCCATTTTATGACCTTTCTTGCCACATTTGTTAAGTGAATCACTACAATTGTTAACAACATGGTTGCTAAGTGAATCCTGCTTGCCACATTGACTTTGCTTGTCAGAAGGTCGCAAAAGGGGATCACATAACACTGTGACATTGCGACTGCCATAAATGTGAGTCAGTTGCCAAGTGTCCGAATGTTGATCAGGTGACCATGAGGATGCTGTAATGTAAGTGCGAAAAACAGTCACTTTTTTCAGTGCTGTTGTAACTTCGAATAGCCACTAAATGAACTGTTGTAAGTCGAGGACTACCTGTATATGAATACTGCCAATTTTCTTGATTAACTAAATCATTGTGATATTGCAAATATAATCTGATTACTTTAGATTTTGAATACCCTGGAAACTAAACTGCATATACACGCCATTTTGTATCTCAATTCTGTGATGGGTAAGGAACTTTGATGTTGGAGCCTTCAAAAATGCTCAAAGTTGTGCTGGGCTCCCACTAATAAGAATAAAAGAGAGGGGGGGAAAACTGTTCTGCTTTCTGCTTCCCTCATATTTAGGTCAATAGATGCAAAGTGAACCTTGCTGACAGTTTTCCCAACTCTCCTGCAGACCTGTGGATTTTCCTATAACATACAGATAGTCCTCAAGTTACAACCATTACTTTAGCTACCATTCAAAGTTACAATGGCACTGAAAAAGTGACTTACAATCAGTCCTCACACTTATGAACTTTGCAGTATACCTAAAGTCACGTGATTCAAATTCATACACTTGGCAACCGCATGTATTTATGATGGTTACAGCATCCTCATTTAATCACCAGTTGTGACCTACCCTACCGGCTTCTGACAAGCAAAACCAATGAAAGAAGTCAGATTCACTTAAGGATCATGTGATTCACTTAACAACTGCAGTTATTCACTTAATAATCATGGTAAAAAGGTCATAAAATTGGGTATGATTTACTTAACCTTGCTAAGCAATAGAAATTCTGGTCCCAAGTTTGGTCATAAATCAAGAAGCAACAATACATTTTTTAATCTGTCCCCTATTTGTTTCTACTTTTTGCAATTACAACGGCAAAGAGGGAAGACAAACATCATATCCACAGGAAGCTTTCTCAACCTGCAAGCAGAAATCCAAAATAGCCTCTAGGACACCTCCTCATTGACTACAGGAGAACAGGTATAATGCATTATTCTAAAGCAATGCTTCTCAGCCTTAACAACTTTAAAATGTGTGGACTTCAATTCACTGGTTGGGAAATTCTGTTAATTAGAGTCCACATATAATTGTCAAGATAGAGAAACTCTGTTTTAGATAATTATATACAATATGAAGGAAATACAGTATGTCTACAAAGTTAATATATTTGGAAAAATAATAATTTTAGTACACTAGGAGTTTTTGAAATCGAACTTATTTTGAAAAAGCAAGAATGTATAGAAGACCAAATTGCCAAATAAAAAGCATTAACAATTGTGCTGTTTCATTTTTAGAGGAACTAACCAATAATGTTTGAAAAGAATTTAGGCTTTGAACATCATCAGAATTCCTCTCAGACAAGATAGTATATTGGAGAGAGTTAATCAAATAGACAGAAGTTTAAATCATATCCCGAAGTTTAAAGCCAGGCTGAGATGGAGTTGTATCTCAACTTATATATCTTATTATCTCAACACTTGTATATTGTTGGTATCATATTTCACCTAACTTCCATTAGGTACCCAGGAAATTATTGCTTCTCAAGCTTTGAAGATGCTGATATTCCACTCTGTAACCTATCTCTTGCCATGGTCAATACAGTACGCTCTGATTTGATTTGGAAAGATGCATAAACAAACTTCACAGACTTTACTTATTATTGTGCAAGATCTATACAATCTTCTAAATATTGGTGTATGTGGTCTTATTCTGGTTCTTCTAGATCCAATAGCTCATTCGGGTAATTTAGATGAAGTGTAGAACTCACCTTGTGAGCAACAGGGAGCAGCGTTGATCAGTACATCACATTACAGTATTAGCAAAATACCAATTATGGGTATGTGCCTCTTTGCACTACAGAGGCTTCCTGGACATATTAAGATCTTGGCAGTAGAGATGTCTGGCTGTATCTCCAAGTGATTGGCTCTTTGTTGACATCACAGCCAGATTTATGGAGGGGAGGGGCTGCTCACTGCAGCTTGCCTGGTGAATTTTGCTCTTTTGAATTGTCAGACACCACATTCTCGTCCTAATTAAAACATAACCTCCATTAAACCAGTTATTCTTTTGGCTGAGATTCAGCAAAAACTGCCAGATGATGATTAAAATTTTGATCCTGTTTAAGAAAACACACTAGATACGTATTTCTGATTTCAATCGTGTTCAATTTGATTTTTAGGATGTACATTTAGGCCTTGCTCCCTAAGCCTGTTTTCTATGGGGTAAACCTAACTGAATATAGCACACATTTTATTGAAGGAAAGAATGCATTACTATTGAAATATACATACATTTGTCACATTTTCCATTGGTTGCTTATGAATTGGAGGTAAAGCAACAATTACTTTATCATCCTGTAGAAAAGACCATAAAAGCTTACTGGGCTTCATATAGTACTGCAACAATCTATTTATTTGAATATGGAAAAAATAATGTTCATTGCTGAAATCTAGGCATTATTAAAATATTTTTATTTATCTCAAAGTTAAAATATAAACAATCTATAAGAAGAAAAAGACAAAAAAAATTTGCAGCTAAGTAGAGATGAAGTCAATTTGATTGATACACAATAGACGTCCATATTTGAGATTTTTTTTTAAAATGTGATGTAAAATAGTATACTATACATTGCAATTATAGATGTGAAACTTTATAATTATTTGCAGACTCACTGTGCAAGGGGGCGGGATCTATTAGGCTTACTTGAGAATATTTTTCAACATTCATCTAGGACTGAATAAAGCATTTCTTGATTTATGGAAATGCTTAATGTTGGCTTTATACATGTTGAGCTCACATTTTATTTTTTGTCTGTGTTTATAAAATGTGCTCCTTAATGGTACATTTTTCCTTGCTCTTTGCTATTGTCATATTCTACATTTATGTTTCAAAACTATGTATAGCTTAGCATTTGTATTAAAAAGTATGAAGAAAAATAATAGTAAGTCTTGTAATTTTATTGTGAAGCTCTAGGGACACCCCTTTAGTATCAACGTTCTACTAAACCACATTACATATATCTGAAATCATTATTACATTTGTTTCATTGTTACTTCTATTGGTTTGAAATAATTATATGGAACATAAACTAACATAAATAGAAAGAAGTTAAAATTGATTTTTCATTTTTAAAAATGTACTTACTGAATGTAAAGACTTCGGAAGCAAATTTTGTTTTCTGTAAGTTGACAACATGGCTGAATGAGCTAATTTAAGATTATATTTTGTTTCTTTGGCTTTTCCAGATAATTTTTCTTTTTCCAGACCTTAGAATCAGTTACCTATAATATAAACATATATCTAAATATTTCCTTCCAAGGTCGTCATTTAAATAAGTAGCTGGCAATCAAAGGCAGATCACAAGGATTACCTTTACTGTCATATAACTACATTCTTATCACCAGGTCTCTATACTTTATTTTTTTCTAACTTTCTTCTTTATAAAGACTTCTTTGGGTATTTATAAAATACCCAAAAAACAGCAGCCTTGGGAATATGCCCTCTTCTATTTATCCTTCTGCTCTTGCTTTATGGAAATGGGTGTTTCCCAGGCAGCATAGACTCATGGCAACGTTGAGTGTCATAACTTGCTTGAGTTGCAATTCAAGTTTCAGTCTTTTGAAGATCTATTGACATTAGCCCAAGTTCAAATATGAAAGAAACTAGAAATAGAATCACAAATCAAACCTTGTATGTGAACATTATTCAGGAACTCAGGCTCATGGCTTTAGCTTATCAGTATGATTTTCTACCTAAATGACTATAATGAGTACCATGTTGTAATCTCTCTTTAAAACGAATTACAAATATTAGCATAAAACTGGATGTAAAAAGAAAAATAAATCTCTTGTCTGAAATTTGTTAGGTGGCTGTTTAAGTAAAATGGTTACTGTAGATAAATTATTTATTGGATTGAATAATACACTTAAACCAGTTAAAGAATCAAAATGTCTCTAAGTAAAGATATTAAGTTCACAGATAAACCTTTTACTAATTAATTTCAATAATTTAATATATAATAATGATAATAGTTGATAACTTGTTTTTAATTGCTTAAGGCTTTAGGAAATCATTTTACTTTTACAGGTTTTAAACTGTACAGATCATAATACTTAAAACAGTTTACAGTATAAGTACACAGCCTACCTTTTAAATATTTTCTTTGTATCTAGAAGATCTGGTTTGCATGCTAAACATCAGCAGAGAAATAGGGTATTCCAATTGTTTCCCCCCATAACTTGTCTATTCAAATAAATTGTCAAGGTAACTAGATTTCTGTTCCATAGAAACAAGCAACAAGAGATTGGTTGAATAAAAGGACAGTATTTTTTTGAAGCTTCGCAATTGTGGACTCCCAGAGATGAGGAAAAAATTCCTTCTTCCTTCAGAAAAATATACCGATTTATCAGAGGTGCAAATATATTAGTTTTTCTGTGAAGAATTAATTTCATACAAATCAACATTTTTATACAAATAACCTGCCAAAATTTGTGTAGCTCTTCTTTGCCAAATACGACATAAATAACTAGTTTCCCCACTAAATAACTAGTTTCCTCACTAAATTAAACTTTGGTGGAACCAGGGATACATTAGCTTTTCCTTTAGAAAAAAAGTTGTCTCATAAATATTTAGTAGTTAAAACTGTACAAAAAGCTGTTCCTGAAATATCTTAATTCCCTATGAAAAAATACCAAACTTGAAATTCTTTGCCTTGATATTTCATAGGCATGATATGTTAGCACAGCATCTGTGTTGCTACGAATAGTGGTATGTTTGCGTTTCCTTGCACATATCATCTTGCTTTCCTGCCACTTTGTTTGTCTTGCTTTAAACACAGGCCAACTTAGGTCTCTCTTAACATCAGGTCCTCCTTGCGTTGTTCTCTTGCTTGCTGTATTTCATACTGGGCCATATTTTTGCTGTTTATTTTTCCATTAGTATTTTCTAACATCCAATGTCTGGAACAAGTTCTCCTACATTTAAAATCTATCTTTTTCGCTTTAAAACCTTTATTTTTAAAGGAGGCTTGAATTTACTTTTTTAGTAACTATAGTAGTATATTGCTTCTGGCTGGTTGCTAACAGCAGGGAGGTGACACGGGGCTGGATCCAAGCGGTTATTACCGCCTCGCTTCGGGAGGGGCA